GTTCCCTGCCTGGTCTGTGATGGTGTTCGCATGTGTTGACTTGTTTGGTAAAAAAAACACACAAATATATTGATCAGAGAGAAAGAGAGAGAATAGGGAGAGGGAAACACCCATTTTGTGTTCCACTATTTTTATACATTGTTTGATTCTTTTTTAAATATAAGCTTTATTTTAAATTTAAAGAAAAACTGAAAACGAGTATGTTTTTACAAATTTTACCAACATTGAAAATGTAATTTGGGAATGTTGAACATTAATTCTCAATTCAAAATAATGACATGTCTTGGTGTTGGCTAATGTAAAGTTTATTTAAACCTAGTACTTTATATAAGCTTAACCATTTCATCCTTCCTAAAATTCAGTGATTATGATTCACATTATAAGGTTAAAGCAGTCTTCTATATAATAACTTTTTGAAATACAATATATTTACACAAGCGAGGAAATGGTAAAAACCTGTAAAAACCACATGGGACTTGCCGAAAAGGCTGCCTTACTTTCAGAGGGAGCATTTCGCCGCAGCACACACACACGCGTGATCAAACAGACTCCCTCACATTCTCTTACACCGCAAGCTGCGTGGCTATAAATGCCGCTCTAGCATGTATGAACTGAAAATAACATATGTTTTAAAAGGTCCTTGAAGACACAGGAGAGTGAAATGAGCCTGCGCTGAGAGCAGCACCACACAGGCTGTTAGGACGACTGGCCTAGTTGCCAGCCCAGCTGGCTACGCCCCTAGGGAATCAGGCCCCGCCCCATGGGAACAGGCCCCACCCCAGGGAAGCAGGCCCCTCCCTCAGAAAACGGTGGGGGCCCTCAGAAAGCGGCGGAGGCGGGCCCAGAAAAACTGATGGTCTTGCTGATGATCTCCACGGCCTCCTGGACCTCGTCCTCCTTGATGACCAGCGGAGGCGGAACCTGATGATGTCACCGTGGGTGGACTTGGCCAGAAGTCCATTATCTTGAAGGCGCAGGCGCACCTTCCAAGCATTAGAATCTTTGGTTTCCTGGGTGACGATGGCATTCAGCAGCCCCTTCTCACGCACGGTGGTCACGATGTCGGAGGGCAGCTTCCTGAGCTCGTTCTCTTCTTCCAAAACCTCGCAGGCGGCATTGGCCCCACAGCTCCCCAGGGGGTTGCCCCCGTACATGGAGCCGGGCTCCCGGGCTGGATGGTCAGCATGATCTCGTGGTCACACAGCATCGCCCACACGGGGTACAGGCCACTGGAATGGGCCTTGCCCAGGAGGACGAGGTCAGGCCTTACGTTTTCATGGCCGACCACCACCATCGGCCAGTCCTGGCCAGTCCCGTCTGGGCCTCATCCTATAAACAGGACCTGGTGCCTAGGGCAGAGCTTGCGCACACCCCTCAGGCAGCCTGGGTCAGGACATTGAAGCCCACCTCGCCCTGAATGGGTTCGACCATGAACGCGGCAACTTTTGGATCCTGAAGAGCACGCTCGAGAGCAGGCAGGTCGTTGTAGGGAATGATCTCGAACCCCGGCATAAGGGGGACAAAGCCGTCGTCGCTGCTGGGGTCCATGGAGCTCAAGATGGCACACAGAGCCCTGCCCCAAGTTTCCAGCTGCGAAGACGATATTGGCTTTGTCCTTGGGGATGCCCTTCACGGTGCAGCCCCACCGCTTCGCTAGTTTGCAAGCGGTCTCCCCGGCCCCCATCCTGTGCTCATGGGGAGAACCTGGTGGTAGTTGAAGAGCTTCGTGACGTTCTCCTCGTCCTCGCCCTGCACGTTGTTGTAAGAGGCCCTCAAGGTTGGCATCAACTTCTCTGCCTGGCTCTTCAGTGCGTCCATGATCTTGGGGTGGCAATGCCCTTGGTTGACGGGGCTGTGCGCACTCAGGAAATCAAAGCATTTCCTGCCTTCCACATCCCACAGGGAAATACCTGTCCCTCTCTCCAGGGTGAGCAGTAAGGGGTGGTAAAGGGTGTCCCAAAATTCACGCAAGATTTGAATTTTGCATGAGCATTAACAACAACAAAAAATAAAAGCCTAATTTTACTTGGTTTATTGAATCAGATTCTAATATCTGTTACCCTGTGATTTCAATCCCTTCAATTTGATAAGCATTACCAAGTACCAATTATGGCCCAGGAACAGGGACAATGAAGACCAATGAAGACCACAGCTTTCGTATGTGCCAGCAAAGCTGTGGAGGCCATTTACCCGATGTGCTATTCCATACATAACCCTATACTGTATAGTTTATGAATCAATAAAAAATTTACAATTTTTAATTATAAACCTGTGTTTTCTATCAAAATTGCTTCTTGCGTGAATTTTGGGACACGCTTTAGTTGTGAGCGCCATACTTGGCTTCCCGTTCAAAATCGTCATCAGACGATAGAGGGCCTTGGACTGTCTTCTTAGTCGCCACTAGATGTAGCAGAAGCCACTGGCGTGTGGGCGCCCGGGGAAAGCCCCACCACAGTCTGTAGACAAGTTAGCTTGGAAAGCATTGTGTCCGTGGAGCAGGAATCCCACCGACCAGCTACCTTCTTCCCGCAGTTCAGATGGAAATGCAGATTGCTCAGCCTGGATCCACGTATGATCTGCTGGGTCCAATAATCCCTCATGGCGCCTCCGGCTCCAGAACCAGCTGCTACGTCTCGGTGGCAGCACATTGTTTGATTCTTGCATGGAGCCTGACTGAGGATGGAACCCACAACCTTGGCACTATTGAGATGATGCTTTAATCAATTGAGCTCTCTGGCCAGGGAGAAACTTATCGGGGGTTTTTAGTAAAATAAGTCACTAATGTATCTGAGAATAGATATACCAGAACCAATGGGATGAGAGATAGTGATGAAAGGCAATGGCGATTCTCGGGTCACGCATCCCGAAACCAGAGAGGAGGGAGCCTGATTCTGCTTTGTGTCACCTGACAACTGCCCTCTCATAATCCAGGACCCCTCAGCAGATATCGGAGCTGGTTTCGGCCCGATTCCACTCAGCAGATGTCGGAGAGCTGGTTTTGGCCCAATCCCCACAGGCCAGGACGAGGGGCCTCACCTGCCAGAGGGATCCCACTCACTCCACAGACACCCTTGAAGCCAAGGCGCTGCCCCAGGTGTGGCCTAATGGGGAAGGGCTGGGGGAGGTTGGTACTAGGGTGTGTGGGACCCGTCTCAGCCAGTCCCACCCCACTTATCACTTTCTAATTAATTTCCTTTCAATGTGCACAAGTCCATATACCCAATCACTAGTGAAATAGAATGATGTACTACTGAAATATGTTATATCCATGTTCAATGCCATCATTTTGGCACTTTGAATGTGGTGATGATATTTACACCAGGGAAATTTTCAACTACTACAAACCTAGACTTCAATGTATCATTAAATGCTTAAACCTAAAGAACACTGGTGGAGAATTAACAATGCAGATTAAATGTATAAGTGTATGGTACAAGTGGGCTAT